AGTTACTATTCTACAAAAGTTTCTTGTGAAGCCTATATCTGCATGTGATTCATACATGGTTTTCTCAGAGTCTAGAACCTGGTGATTGTGAGGACCCATATATTAATCATTTGTCATTCCTTTATTGTCTATTTCTCCCTAAGCACATCTTTGTCCTAAAGTTCCACTACTAGATAGTCACTTTGAGGGCACTGAGGGATCTGTAACCAAGGAACCCACAGCTAAGCAAATCCTGCAGATAAATTGGATAAATTTCAACAGTGTGGGAGTCCCCCCCACCATCGAGTCATCCAATCATTATTTATTCACCTCCATCATTGAGTAGATAGTACATGCTAAGCAATATGAATAAGACTGATGCAAATAGCTGTGTTATCAAATAGTGAGATTAATGAAAGTCCTATCCAAAATGCAATAATTATAGAAAGGCAGACGCTCCCAAATTACTGAGTAAAAGGAAGGACCTCACATAAAAGTAGTGCTAGAAAGGCAATTTTACTACTTAATCAGAATGAAGACTTTTAGGTCTTTGAATGTTCTGCATAAAGTCTGTGAACACAAGTTATACGAATAAGAGCATATTCAGCGCAAAAATGAACAAAGCACTAATTCTGAACAGGTGAGAAATCTCAGTGATGAATGATATTAGAGAGAGCAAACCATGGGCAGATTCCACAGCAGTCCATAAAGATGTATGTGTGTCAATATTTTCTGTCTTATGTCCATTTAGGTATTGCCACTAGTCCTAAAAATATTTTTGAGTACCTGCTATGTGCCAGGTACCACTCTTGATTCTGGTGCTACAAATGTCAGCAAGATTGACAAGGTCTCTCTGCCTTTTAGAAACACAATGGGTAGGAAGGGGGGTCTAAATAAAAAATTCACAAAATTTGGAGTAGTGATAAGTATTATGAAGACAGATAAATCAACATTAAGGGACAGTACTTGAAGCTGTTGTGCATTTGTTTTATCTTATCATCAGGCCTGGGATAGGAACAAGCCTACTATTACCATAAGGGACACAAGAAGCTTCTGTAAGCCATAGCACTGTGAGTAAAGGGAGGCATTAGAAAAGGGCCAGAGAGGCCAGACCTAGATTCTGTGAGGCCTCCAAAGGCCATAGCAGGTTTATATTTTAGATATAATAGAAATCCAGGAGGAATTGGAGCAAAGAAGTAATAAAATGTCATTTTTCTTTTATTAAAGCTTCCTGTAACTGCTGTATGGAGAACAGACTATAAGGAGGCAAGAGTTTGTGACCAGTTAAGGAGTTACCAGAGCTGGGGAGTGATATTGGCCAAAGCACGTTGTTAAATTATGTTTTGTGTGCATGTACAAATATGTAACAACAAACCCCGTCGGGATGTACAACTATCACACACCAATAAAAAACATGGGGAGAAAAAGAAAGCCACTGCATCCGTGTACCAAGAGAAGGCAGACTGGACCAGCTAGTGGAACAGCTAGTGTGATGAGCAGTCTTCAGGTTTTAGACATGACTTTGAAAGTGGAGCCAAGAGGACTTTTTAATATGTTAAATAAATAATTAAAAGATAAACCAAATGCACAGAGACCCTCGGGCTGCAATGACTGAAAAATATTGTTATTTCAACAATTCTTTTATTTATGTAATCCCTGAATAGGCTGGAACATTAGTAGAAAGTTCTTTCTTATATGATCTTAATAGGGAATGTTGCTGGGGAAAATGATGGAAATCAGTGATTTTATAAAATTATGAAATGAATGCAAAAATTACCAGGTACTTATTTGACCATAATTGTTTCAAGAAATAAGAACAGTGAGTACTCTATCAAGATAAACTATTAAATTTGTAGAAAGTGAACAAATGTCTTAACATTGTAATGTGAATCACTTCCTCAGTGAATCACAACACATTAGCAAAATGTTGAATTCACTGCAAGATTGAATAAATGCATTTGGTTGGTAGAGCTCAAATTATGCTGGTCTTGATGAGACCTCCATATCTCATTTCCAAGTGACCTGATTTTATTGTACATGGTCATGAGCAGCATCAAATCTATTGCTGGGTATTTCTTTGTCCTTGCAATTTTCCAGCATACTGAGAAAAGCAAGTGGCAGGCAATGGTGGTGAGCCCCCGAAATAGAAGGATAAGATTATTGCCACACCAGGGTTTCTATATCATTGTTACTTGCCTCAGCACTTGGTACAATGATTTGTATGTGTGTATCTGGTGGAACAGTGTGGAGTGATACACTGGCTTTATGACCTGCTCTATGAAGAACAGAATTAAAAGCTACGATATTACCAACAAAAAATTAAAAATAGTGCCAGATAATTGTACCTATCCCCAAGGGTTCTTATGAGAATTCAGTCTGATGAGGAAGGCAAAAGTATAATAAGCAAGAGTTCAGTAATTTACTGTTTTTCCACAATGTCTTAAGCATTATATTCTGATGATATTAGAAACAGTTGTTTGATAAAGATATCTCTGGATCCAGAAAAACTAGGTATTGAAAGACAAGCTTGGTAACTGTCTAAGTAAAACAATGAACAAATACTTGATGTTCTAGGAGCTATGCTAGAACTGTGTTCCTTGATTTTATTTAAAAATCTTACAGAGAATGTATCCCAGATTCTAAATTTATAAATAAGTTCACTGAGGCACAGAGAGGTTAAGTAATATATCACAGTCAGAGAACTTAGATATAAGAAAGAAGATTTAACCAGTGTTGGCTTGAAAAACAGAATTTCATCCATGATATAGGCACATTGCTAGACAAACTTAGTGGAAACTTCTGCTGAGAATTAATAGAACCATGAAATTCTTCCTTTAATGAAGGACTGACAACATGCAGTTAACTCTACCACAGCACTAATATTCTCATGGGATGGCTCAAAGCAGCTCACTGTAAGGAAGAAAACTCATTAACCAGATGCATTTGTCAGACACCACTGGTCCTTAAAAATTTCAACCCAACATAGAAGCTGATACTCCATAAAAGAAAAATTGGAAAAATTAGCCGGTTTGCTTTACTAAAATACTTACACTTTCTACAATTATACTCTTGATATATCTGACATCATTTTGTTTGACCTATTCTCAAAGATGATGAAAGAACCCACATTATAGACATGGAGGTTTCTTGAAAAAGTATTTCCCACCCAGGAGCTACATCCTGATGGATTCCTGGATTGCTTAATATTATAATGAGGCAAACACCTCATCATGCAAATGGGTTTTCATCTCTTCAGCAGTTGGGATATATCTCTAACATTAATGAATTCTAGACTGATACAGAAAAACTGAGTGTGAGGTACAATACCTGGAGAGATGTCCACCACATCAGGAGGTCAATTAATAGTCAACCAAAATGATGAGGAGAGGAATGGGAGTTAGTAAGTGCTCAGAAAAACCTGCTTTGACTACTTGAAATAAGAAACTTCCAAAAATTGGGTTCAAGGAATTGAAATTGAAGGTTTACATGATTAGAGTGATTGGCAAACCATTAACTAGTATTAGTTGGGGAGAATTATCAGGAAAAAAGCCATGGAAAACTTACCACATGTGTAGACATTTTGGACAAAGAAAATATTAGTGTTTTTTCTTGTTTTGCTGTTGTTTGTATTTTTGTTTTATTATCAGAAAAAAAGTGATAATAACCATCTCTTTCAGACTTAATTGCTATGGGAAATATCTTTGTACTCTGAGCAATGCATTTTTTCTGGTGAAATAATCTTTTGATGTTTACATGAAGTGAACCTGCTGCTTGCTTTAATTAGTAAATTTGATAAACCAGTGCTGTTTCTATGCCACACACATTCAAAAAATATTATGAGAAACCTGACTAATTTTCAGTCATTTACAACATTATCATAAATTACATAGTTCACAGCTTTAAGAATGATAAAAATACATTACCAATGCCCTGAGAAACTAATGATCAAATTTGAGGACAGAAATTCTGAATCCTGGATACACTTAATATTTGCCTGTGGAATTGTGGAACTGTATGAATACCTATGTTACTCCTTCAACAAATTAATACTGATTCTCTGGAGCTGGGACAAGGAAATTTCAAGATCTGAATATATAACCAGGTTTGAGAACCTTAATGTAGACAAACATAGCCAGGCCCCCATGTTCTTACTACTGAAAACTCAGGGCTTAATTTCTTATACTTATAAATATATTCACTCCAAAGTTGCAAAATAAGTGTTTGGGCAAATTAGTATTATTTTTTGATTAATTCTTTCTTTTTTATTAATATTTACTTTATAAAAAGGAAAAGTTCCAGCTGGGCATGATGGTTCGCATCTGTAATTCCAGGGCCTTAGGAGGCTGAGGCAAAATGATCCAAAGTTGAAGGCTAGCCTGGGCAAATTATCAAGACCCTGTCTCAAAATAAAAAATAAAAATGTAGAGTGCCATTGTGATCAATCCCCAGAAACGCATGAAAAAGACAGAAGAAGAAGAACCACCACCAACAATAACACAAGGAAAAGTCCAAGTTCAAAAGCATCACTCATGAGAAAGGACAGCAAGGTGTTGATCTGAATTTATACCTTGCTCAACAAAAGCAAATCTCATGTGGTAATAGCAAAAGGCAAAAGAAGACACTCATCCTCTTGAAGATGACTCTTGAAGAGACCGAGTCAATTGTCACTGCTAGAGGAAAAGGAAATAAACATTGTCCTCTAACGTAAGAACAGAATCTTTCAGTATTACTTTGATTGCAAATATCAGGTGCCATAATTTGATAAATGTAGTATTAATAATAGCATAAATGTACTAGGCAACAGCAAAAATTGTTAACATTTTTATGGGATTGTTGTTCATAAAGGTGTTGTTTTATGTCTTATTATTTGAATTTCAAAATGTACAACAAATTCCTTAATAATTTTTAACTTTAGAATATTATATTCACCAATGGAATGTTAAAAGACAAAATCTGTTTAAGGTTTGAAAACAGATTTGGAGAGAGGAAAACGAGGAGTGAAATACGGAATATTAACTCACCCAAGCAAAAATCGCTGAGGTCAGCAAAGGAACATTTGAGCATGGAGTCTTTTTCATTCTCTTCGGAGTTAACTGAAAGAAAGAAGACACATATTAGTTTTGGAAAATAAAAGTATAGTGACTGAAAAATTATTATTATATTTGATGGACAAATGATGGCCAAAATGAAGAAATTTTTTATGTTAATGTTTGAATTATTTAAAATAAATTTTATAAGTGAAAAAATATTTATGCTACATTTAATACATTTATCCTCTTGAACCATTAGTACTTTCATTATTGAATAAGGCTGTAAGTTGGCTTTTTATAATATGTAGTTATTTTGCAGTGTTATTAAGAGATAAGTTTTGGTATTTTCAAGTTATTCAGGGAAAGTAGCAACTCAAAGGAATCACATGAATCAATGTATGAAAAAGCTAGAGATGAATGAGAAAAACAAACTCATCTTTGAATAATGGGGAGCATGATTTTATTTTGACTCTTGATTTTGCAAATGGTCTAAAATCATAACAGTGTGTCTCTGACAAGCCTATGTGTGTAGAAGACAGCCTAAACTCAGCCAGTTTCTTTAATGTGGCATCTAGCTAGAATGTGCCTAAAATTTAGCTCTTGCCTGTCAACATTTTGTTGCAAACACTAGTTCATGTTCATGGAGCCAAATCTTCACTGTTTTATAATCAAGATTAAAATCTTTGGTTTCTCTTTTTGGGAAATGGAATTCTTTACTGATGACATTTTATTTGAACACTGCTTATAAATTCTAACAAGGAATAATTTTATTAACAACAGGCAATGTAAACAATGGCCCTTTGAGATAGTGATTCATACATGCACTTGGTCTGTCTTCTGCTGCAAACAGCAAGTATGTCCAGATTATTATGGGACTGGCCACCTGCAAAGCAAGGAAGGAATAAAAACATTTGGCCAACACTGGGCCTTTCATCTGATTGGCAGAAGGAGGGTCTGCTCTCTGTCCTATTCTAGTCTCCTTTCTGAAGACCTCTATTAAAACCAGTCAAATGGAAAAAAAAAAGAAAGGGTGCACTTATTTTTCATAAGTTGAAGAAGAAAACAATAATTGCTGCTCACCTTGCTCTGCTTTGTCAGCAGAGATTAAAGTTACAGAGGTCGGAGCCTGAGATTCACTCTCGGTTGACTGGAAGAGCGAGGTAGATTGGCTCAAGCTCTTTGAATGAGCATAGCTGTGGGCAAGGCAAGGCAGGGATCTCCTAGATGGTTTCAATGAAGTTTCTTTTGTTATCTCACTTTTGCTTACATTCATACCTGCAAGTTCAAAAAGATGAGCTTTAGAAATGATCTACTTAGGAGAGGTCAATAAATAATTTTCATATACCATGTAGCTTTTAGAACTCAGATTTGTTTCTGTTTTGTTAGGGGAAAATGTTGAGATTTTTGTCAAATAGTTCTGAGAAATAAACAGTTTCTCTTTCAGTTTGAGATTTCAATATATTTTTAAATTTTTTTTGAAAAAAGAAAATGGAAATCCAGGGAGTTATAACAACAATAATTTGTATTGTCTTTGCATAAACCTAACCATTTAGATTTTCAAGTAGTGAAATAAATAAAACCTAACACATTCAAATTACTATTGCTAAGGAGAGCCCTTCTTTCTCTATCACTTAACTACAAACATAATGCATTAATAGTACTTGTTACAATTTAGATCTGGAATGACCCCCAAAGGCTCATGTGTTGAAGGCTTGGTACCCAGTGCAGTGATGTTCAGAGCTGGGCTCTGGGGAAGTGACTGGATTATGAGGGCTCTGACTTTATTAGTGGAATTAATCCATCAATGTATTCACAATTTGATGGTATTATTGGGAGGAAGGAAGAAACTGTAAGAAGTGGGACCTACTTGGAGAAAGCAGATCACCGTGAGTGTTTTAGTCAACTTTTTCACTGCTGTGACCAAAGGACCTGACCCAACTGATTGTAAAGGAGGAAAGGTGTATTTAGGGGCTCGTGGTTTAAGAGGTCTCAGTCCATAAACAGCAGGCTCCATTCCCTGGGACTTGAGGTGAGAGGCAGAACATCATGGCAGAAGAGTGTGGTAGAGGGATCCAGCTCACAGGATGATCAGGAAGCAGAGAGACTCCACGCCCCAGATACAAAATATATATGCCCCATAACCACGCCCCCAATGAACCACTTCCTCCAGCCACACGTCACCTGCCTCCAGTCACCACCCCGTTAATCGCATCAGTGATTAATTCACTGATTAAGTTAAAGCTATAACCCAATCATTGCTCCTCCAAACCTTCTTGCATTGTCTTCCATGTGAGCTTTTGGGAGACACTTCACATCTAAACCATAACAGTGAACATGCTCTGGAATATAGATTTTCCTTTCTTTCTCTCTCCTTCCTGGGTGCCATGGGGAGAATCAGCTCTCCTCCTCAATGCCCTTCTGCAGTGATGTTCTGCCTTGTCTCCGACCCAAAGCAATAGGACCAGCTGATTATGGACTGAAATCTCTGAAAACTGTGAGTGAAAATAAATCCTTCTTCCTTTGAGTTGTTTATTTCAGGTATGTTTGTCACAGTGATCTGGAGACTGCATAAAGGTAGCAATGGTTTGGCAAAAAAGCTGGATCAAAAGAGAACATTCCTGTGCTTCTGTAAGAGTCCCTTTCCTCCATTAGCAGCAGCCCCTATCACTGCTACACTCTAGCAAAGAATGCCCCCCTTTCCTTTCTCCATCTATCTTCATTCACATTATGTCAATCCCAAATCAAATCCTCATCTCCAGAATTCTAATCTCCAAATATTTTTGGACTCTGTCATTTCTGACAGTGTCTTCCACTAAGACTGCTTCAATAGGTCCTTGGGAGTTTACATCCAATGTCAGAAAAACCCACTTAGTATCCTCCTCAGCTTTTTCTATGGAAAATTCATTTTCTTACCCACACCTAGCACTGCCCCTTACCCCCGACCTACAACACTGCTTCCCTTGTAGGCCCTTTCCCTCCTACAACCTCATAATTCAGGCTATCCGGCTTCAGGTGGAGTAGGTATCCTCCTAACTACTAACTGCCTTTTTGAGTCCATTCTTTTTAATCCCTATTCTCTGAAAAAACACACAATAACAACAAAAACCCTTATCTTTCAAATTCTTATGTAATTAGGCTATTCATTAACTCTTCCTTGCTACTGTCCCTTTCAGGTTATTTCACATTAACTGTAATAAATTTGGCTTCTAAGACACATCTCTCCTCTATATTATCTTCTGCTTAACATCCACACCATATGTTTCTTGTGTAGCTTTTAAAGTTCCATATACCTCCTGGAATGCACGTTCAATGAGGATATTGATTTTTGTTGTGTTTATATGCAGTGTCTAAATCCATGCTTGGCTCCCGAGAGGCATCAACAAATACTTGTTGGCCAAATGGACATCTGAACAGTTGGCTGACTATGCCTATAACCTGAGTACTTGTTAAGTAGCTTATCTCTTCTCTTCTTTATGTCCACTGCCACTGCCAGTGCCTAGAATGTTGGGTTGTGACTCAGCTGGCTCAATAAACTTATTTTCTCTATAAGTTCTTAAAAACAGAGATTTACAACCAAATTTGCAAAACAAAGGAACTGGATCAACCTGGTGAACTCCATAGAATTCACAGCTATAAAATGTTTTTCAGAAAAATGGTTCTCACATTCCTCCTTTCACTCTGCCTGCACAGATACAGCTTTTCCAAAGCTATATCCTGAATTTTCCAAAGTTTGATCCTGAATCACGCCCTAAATAGTTTCAGACTGACATCTGAGTTAAGCAGTTGATACATGTGGTGTCTGCATTATGTAAACAAAACCATGAAATCAACTTACCTCAGTGCTTGGTCTAAATCTCAGACCACATAAGGCAAAGGGTCTTATTGTGACTATCAATTACATGACAGGCTCTGTGGTTGGTGCATTTATTTATTCATTGTGGGGTATATTTCTTTATTCTACATAAGCAAATTATAAACAAATATTCTCATTTAAAAGGCTTGAAATTACAGAGGTAAACAGAATAAAAAGCCAAAATCATTTTCCCTGTGACTCCCAAACTCAGTCTCCAAACCAAACAAAGCAAATGTTACCACTTACTGATATTTTTCTGTGTATATATATGCATAAGCATGTACAGAAATAGTTTTCTTACACTAATGGAAGTGCATAGTGTGTTGCATTACACATTTGTCCATTTAAGAAGTCTTGGATAATTTTTTTTTTTCATTTCAGCCCACACACATCTATCTCAGACTTTATTTTATTTATTTATTTATTTTTGGCACTGGGTATTGCACCCAGGAGTATTCTACCATTGAGATGCATCCCCAGCCTTTTTTATTTTTAATTTTGAGACACAGTCTCATTAAGTTGCCCAGGCTGGCCTCAAACTAATGATCCTCCTGCCTTAGCCTCCTGAGTAACTGGGATTACAGGCGTGCACCATCATTCCACGCTTACCTCAGACTTTTAAATCTACCTTAAAGTATTCTACAGTATGAATAAACTATAGTTCATTCAATCATTCTCCCATCATTGGACACTTAGGTAATTTTCAATAATTTATTTCAGAAAGAATATCCCTACCAGTATTATTATACATATGCCTTGTCCTTACACATTATTTATCTAAGAGGAAAGACTTAGATGTAGAACTTCTAGGTTGAAAGTCATGAATATTTATCATTTGGATAGAAAGTGCCAAATGGTCCTCCCTAAAAGCTTTATCTTTTATACTTCCATGAACTGCCCAAGGGCTATCATGTAGCTCAGTGGGAAAATGGTTTGTCTCATATTAGTAAAGTCCTGGGTTCAATCCCATGTTTCAAAAAAGAAAAGAATAAAAACAAACTCCTCCAAAAACAAAACAAAAAACTCAAACTGCCCAAGACAGGATCCAATTGCTTATGCCTTGGCCCAATCTATACCCCAACGATAGTTTTGATTTTGGACAAAATAAAAAGCCCACAAACAAAACCAAAAACCTTCATGATTTTAATTTTCATTTTATAAATTGAGCATGACTTCATCTATTTTCTAGCCAATTATTATGCTTAAGTGACTAAGCTATTTTGTATGTGTTAGACTTTTTGCTTATTGATTTATAGTCACTGATAGAATTTTATTTAATATACATTATATGTAATATTTTTTGTTTCATTTCATAATATTCTTATTAGGCAGACATTGTGTTTTCTACTAACTATGGGGAAACCAAAACTGGAGATGAAAAATAACATGCCATAGATTACACTAATATATGAGAAAAAAGGGAATTTATGTTCCAAGCATTTCTTAACACTAAAGTTACCCCATCATAATACATGTGTAAATTAGTTTGAAAATCCCTAAAACAACATCTATTCACCTCAAAAGTCACAGATATTGAAACGTATCACTCAAAAATTCTATATGGATAGAGGTTAAACACAGAAAGAACAACATAGATGCACATTTGTCAGCCCCTACCACCCTATGAATCCACCTTCCTGATATCTGATCCTCTATAATAAAATAAATTTCAATTATAGTAGCTAAATGGTGAAGAGGATAATGCAAATTCCAAAGTATATAGAGAATTCATGTAATAAATGTTTGCCTTATAGTTATTTATCTTAATTTCACTTTTGAAATGGAGTAGAATTAGGGTCATCATAGTAGGTAAAAAATCGAGGAGAGATATATTTTTCATAATTATTTTTATCATAACAAAAATAGCTACATTTCACTCACATGGGTCAGGCCATTAATTTGTAAAAATCTTATTTTGTAGTCATTTCATGAATAAGCCCCAAGTGTCCAAGAATCTCTCCAAACACATGAATTCAAATAAAACAAAGCAAAGAAACCAAGATGCATGGCTCTTTAAGGCCAATAGAAATTTTGAAATAGAGTAAAAAAGACAGTCCTTGAAATGGGTTCTACCAAAATGAGATATGGTTAAACAGATGAAATTCAGATAAATCTAGGAGTGATGATTTTTATCTTTTCCTTTATAGAAACATGTTTTTATTATTTTCACAGTAATTCTCAATGAGCAAATGTAACCTAGAAGAGGATGCAAGAAAGAAATGTGAATTGACTAGAAGAATAGCAACCAGTCCCGTAGCTCTCTGGAACCCTGTAATGATAAGGACAGAACATTTTGTAGAGGAATTCTCCAAGGTATGCTGAGTTTCCATCAAAATACTATATAATTAACTTTAGTTGAGGGCCAATAAATGCTTTCTATCCATCCCAGGAAGAGTATAGAGGAAAACTCTGCTAGTAAGTT